AACAGGCCATACCCCCGTATGTCAGTGGATAGCTAAAATTTTATTAGGGTCTCGATTTTTTTTTTTTTTTTTTTTTAATGACTAAGTCTGATGTGACTTCACTGAAATACTAAGTACAAACACAGAGAGATCAGGTAATGCTACCAGGAAAATGTATGGAAAACAACTTTCTCTAAAATAGAAAAAACGTTTTGGAAAAACACCGGTTGGACTAGAACAAAAATTATATATTTTTGTTTTATAGCTTTTCATCATCAGATTGCAAAGAAATAAACAGTTTTTGAGCATTGCAAAAAAAAAAACCTTGCTCCCCCCGACTCAACCAAAAATAGATATATGTATTACTCATTACCAGATAAATAAACTCATAACTGAAATGTTACATTTGCCGTGGTCCACAAGGGGTAAGCAGGTGCAGGATCTGAATTGTTTACATTTGCAAGCCAATCTAGAAAAAAATGCCAAGATAACACAGGCACCTTTCATTATCTCCTGTGAAAAGGTTTAGTAAGTTGTGTGATATATTTTAGTAATTTGTGCCAATTTTATTTTTCGATCACACAAATCATATATTTATGATCCCATTTTCACAAAAATATTGTGATACTTTCCAATGCAGGTAACAAACTGTATTGCAAGTGCTGTTTACTATCCATTTTTGTCAAAAACAGATCTGTTGACTGTAAATTGTATCAAAGTCGGTAGGAAAATCCCTACCTTGATAAATGAGCCCTAAGTAGTTCTACTTATTACACTTGTGATGTAAAATGTAGATTTTTATCTACGCATTTTCAATTTCTCTTTTACATGTTTCTCTCTCTTCTCCTATAGGACGATTATGTTTTGGAAGTGCGTCATTTCCAGTGTCCAAAATGGCCAAACCCAGATGCCCCCATAAGCAGCTCATTTGAACTTATTAATGTCATTAAAGAAGAAGCCCTATCAAGAGATGGACCTACCATTGTGCACGATGAGTATGTACCAGTAATAGGTTAAATTCTTTCATGCAATTGTAATATTCAAAGGCGCCCAATGCACAGCTGGCTGTCAAAATACCTAAACAGTCTGATTGGATGCAGACATTGTGAGAGCCAGTGGGGCCGACTAGCAAGATACTGAAGCTTGGCCCAGTAGGAGATTCCTCCATCCACACAGTTTAGCGTAGATGGAGGCATTTGTTGCACTTTTTCCATCTGATCACAGAAAATGTGTAGATAATCTATAGGTGTATGGCCTGGTTCTGTGTGGTTTTTTTTTTTATATAAAAAGCAGCCACACCCCGAGTATCAAAGCCTGTCCCTTGGTAGCATGCTTTAAAGAAAGATCCCTTCCCTCAGTGTTGTGTGGAAGTAGTGGTCTCTCTGCATAGGTACTACAAGCCCACCCTGTGTAGTCAGAGTGGTAGCTCTTCAATTACCAAAACTCATGTGCATGCTGATAAGAGAGTTTTAGCTCTGACTCAGTAGAGGGTGTTATCGGACCTCAAAGAGAGACCACTTCTGCCATGCAGAGTCCTCCTCTACAGCATGCTGGCAGGCAACAGGATTTTCTACTCAGAATGTGACTTTCTAAAGAAAATTAACTGTAAGACTTTAAATGTTGATTGATTTGAGGCCCCATTCATATGGGGCGATCTGGGATTCCTGTGGCAAGAAGCTACGGATTACTGCGGCAGGAATGCCAGGTGTCCCAGTTTAGATGTGGCCACTGAACCTATTGAAGTTAGTGACTGGGTGAACTAAAAGTTCAATTGGGTTTTACATGTAATTAAGATAACGTAGGTAGATAATTCAGGACAGGTGCTGTCCCAACTTCAATACTATCTGCACAGTTTATATGAGTTTATATGTTCTCACCTGTGTTTTGTAGCGGTTTTCCCCCCAATATCTTTCTCCCATAGTCCAAAACATACTTTTAGGTTAACTTTCTTCCTCCCAAATTGACCCTGGTGTACACATGGGTGTGGTCTGATTATGAACTCCTGCTTGGGGGCAAATATTGATGTGAACGGTTGTATGCACTTTGTATAGTGCTACGCAATACGTTACCACCCTATATATACGTTAGAATAGTCATAAGGAAACATAGTTAGGAATTATATTCTAACAGAAATATCAGCACAATTTTATTTAACTTCTATCACCAGCAGTTAGAGCAATTACATGAAACAAATAAATTCATTCTACTGTACTTTTCCACTTTGGTTTGGTAAAACCGACGCGTGACCTAGAGTATCCTACCATATAAATGATGTTACATATGAGTATATAGGCTGCCTAGCATATTCATCATAAATTGTAACTTTTTTTCCAAGCCATAATGCACATTAAACACGGTCCTTTCTTTTAATTATCACTAAAGGAAATGTAGCTGAAAATTAGTTTTTTTACTCCCTTCTTTTCGAAGTAGAAATTGCTGTAAATTTACAATTTAAAACCCGGGAATAATTATGTCCACAAATTAGTTTGAGAAATATGAATCTCCAAATGCCAAGGCACAGCTGTATCAATTTGATGATTTGTGCTTTAATTTGTTTGGAGTTTGAGGTTATCAAATTCTTCTAGAAAAATTTGCAAGTCATTAGCCCGCTGCCATATGTTGCCAGATTGCCGGCATCCGATACTTTCAAAATTATTTGGGCCATTTCCATGCAAATGTCATGTTCTTTCCTTGGACAAATGTGAATCTTATAGAGTGTGTGAAAGCTAGAGCAGGACTCATTTGTTTTCTGGAGAGTAAAAGTATTCTTCTATAAAAAAAAGTCTTTGTCTGCAGCTGAAATTGTTCAATGCTTGCCAGCTCTAAAATACTTTTTATTCTACTCGAAGAGGCAGGCTGTTCATTGAAAGACATAGACATTGTAGTCGGTGAAAATAAGGCCCTGCTAGTTTAAAGTCTTGGTGAGGGATACTTCTGAAAGTCTTCAGCCTATTTCCAGGTTTCAAATGTTCTTTTATGGGTCCAAATCTATTATTCCTTACCTAGAAATTAGAGCTGTGATTATAGCACACTAAATTCAGAAGAAGGTGCAAATGTTGTGTACCCTCTATTGAATTTCATATAGGTTCCTGTAGATTACTGCCGGTTCCTTCACTTCTTCTCGGATCCCCGCTGGGGAGAGCAGCGGGATCCAGAGAAGCGGCGGGAGGAGAGGACATGGAGATATACCAGTGATCGCTACGCGATCGACTGGTAGATCGCGATCGACCTTATGGGCACCCCTGCTGTAGATCTTCTATTTGGTTACAAAGGACTTTTCTATTTTTGGATATCTATGTGAATCGGTTTTTGCTTTCTGAGACATACATCATTTGTAAGTGGAGAGGTGGGGTTTTTTCTCTGCAGATGGAAGATGTCCAAGAATAGGAAGGCCTATATTACAGCAACGTATTTAGAGGGAATACAGAAAATTGTTATCTTTTACAAAACAGGTTCCCTGTGAGCATGGATGTTCAGCAGTAATCATCCAATGACTTCTTGCATTTTCTGGAACTACATCCTAGGTTCTCGCAATCGCCACAGCCATTACAGTAGGGACTCATTAGGGTTTCTGTGATTTTCATGTAGTCAATAGTATGGAGTATGCAAACAAAGTAGGGAGACTTCACAGTGGGGGGAAACATCTAGAGCAGGCATAACTTAAGACAAAGTGTGTCCCATCACACTCCTGACCGGAAGGAAAACCATAAGCAGTGTGGGTGCGGCAGTGACAGCAGATGCCTCCACAGATCATATGGAAATTCAAATTTGCCGAGTCAATCTCTTTATTGACTATGGTAGTGTAACATCTCAAAGCGACGTTTCGGAACCTAGTGGTCCCTTCTTCAGGCAAACAAAAAATAATTTTCTGTTTGCCTGTAGAAGGGACCACTAGGTTCCGAAACGTCGCTTTAAGATGCTACACTACCATAGTCAATAAAGAGATTGATTTGGAGTGAGAGTGACTTTCTATTCGAATCTACATCTGGAAGAGGGTCTCTTGAAAGGAAAATCCTGCTTCCAAGTACTTGAGAGATCTAATAGCTGGTGGTGGCTGATTCAGCCACCAGCATTCTTTTTAAATAACTATGTTGTCTTTCCTCAGCCTACAACAATAGCTGTTGCTCCTTTGCTACAACAGATGACTTTGAAAGCTTTGTTCATTAAAATTGCAACAGAATGTTTGGAAAATTGTGCTTTCTCCTAGCGGATACCACACAACGCCTCTTTATATGCGCTTCAAAATGAGCAATATGGGCGTCTTCAGAGAGCAATCTGGACAAAGCTGCGTTAATGGCGCCCTTGACCTCATTAGCCGCATGTTACTTTTCATTGGCAATTTTCTCCATATGAAACGTGACAACAGACACAAATGAAAAGGCAGAAGCAGGACACAGATAGCAGAACGAAGTCAGGGTCAGTAATTAGACATGGACATTCCTATAGGACTTGTGCAACTGGACTAATTGGATAATCAGACTCTTGTGACAGAATAAGATGTTCGGCTTCCTCTGTGCAGCTAACAGCGCTTACATTCAACCTTGTTTGGCATAATTAGAGCAGCATATTAGCAAGTGAGGAGGATACGGACAAGAAGAGGAAGACATTTTAGATCGGAAGTTACAAACAAAAATGTAAAACTTCCTCAAGCTTCTAGTGGAAACTTAAAAAGACTCATCAAACTCAAGGCAGCTATACAAAAGTTAACATTTTTGGCTGAGCATGTGATTTAATCTAATTCGGCATGGAACTAGTATTGTCCTGTGGGGAGAGTCCGTAGCTTCTGTAAACTATGACTTGAGCAGCTCGTAGTTACCGATAGGTGGCTTCTGCTGCTGTACGGGCTATTGTAAATAGCCCATAGAGCAGCCCTTCGGTACGGCTGGATCCTTCGGCTCTTTAGAGGATAACTCCCTTAATGTTTCTGTATAGAATTTCTGACACCATTAAACACTGGGCTGTATATAGAGACACCTCACGCAATAAAGGGTTTGTACACACAGGCTTCAACTTACTTAAGAGCAGTGTATACAGCAAGTTTTTGCAAAGCATTTGGAAAGCTCTCAGCAATATAACATGCTTCTGCTGAATTGAAAGGAAATATATTGTATGCATTACCAATGGAAATGTGGCTGTTTTTGTGCATATAATGTACTTTCCAATACAGTTTTGCTGCAAGGCCAACATTAACAAATGTACATATTTTGATGTCTTTTTCAGATTTGGTGCTGTTTCGTCCGGGACACTCTGTGCTCTTGCCACTTTGTCTCAGCAGTTAGAAAATGAAAATGCAGTGGATGTTTACCAGGTGGCCAAGATGATAAATCTAATGAGACCCGGCGTATTCACAGACATTGTAAGTAACCAGGGGATTTGATGAAGTTGGCAGTGGGTGCATGAGGATTTTTATATATTAGACAGTGTATTAGACAGTGTATTAGACATCGACAGTGTCATCGTGTGCAACAATATGAAGAGGTGTAGAGCCGTTGACAGGTTAAAGGATCAGACTAAGACAAGTTAAAAAGTGTATGTGGTAAAGCAGAATGGTAAAGCTCAAAGTAAATGTATGCATTTTGCTTTAGAAGAGCTTTATTTTCCTTCTGATGCTATGTTGTGTTGCATGCAGGGAAAAAACGGTTTGCGTAAATTGTTAGCAAAACTGTAAGATAACATTAAGTCAGGTTGACGAGGGAACAAATAAACACAACAGCAATTTTTTCACAGGTTTGCAATCAGTAAAGATTTAAATTACCTTACCTTTGTTTACGTGAGCATTTAATGCATATGCAGTGAAGGCAAACGTCATCTAGATCCTTGGTTCTCAACTGGTGGGTTGTGACCCAAAAGTGGATCATGATCCCGTGTTCAGTGGGTCGCCACGTGCCTTCTAATTTTCTAGGTGAGAGGCTTCTCAGCCTTCCCCAAGTGCAGCACTGTCAGATATATGCTGCCCGGCACTGAGTGTCAGCTTGAGGTGGGGTGGGCTAGGGCAATGGCCACGAGGGAGCTCCATCCATACATGCATTGCTTACAGCTCCCTCTGGTCCAGCACCCCTGTAGAGATGCTGGACCAGATTGATGTCACATTTTGGCTCCTGGCACCTCTACGGGGTGTGCAAGGGAGCTGTACAAGTGGATGCACAAATGGATGGAGCTCTGTCACAGCACAGCAGCCCACACTGGACCCCAGGTTGTGGATCTACTCCATTTCTCATAAAGTAGGGTGGATTTTAAAAAAATTCAACATTTTTGGAGTCTGTATGTGTGTGAGATTGTGTCTGTGATTGTGTGCATGTCTGTCAGTGTATTTGAGGGCCCGTTCACACTAGTACAGTGCGTTAACCCATGTCCATTAACGCTCTGTACCGCGCAACCTCACCTATTGAGCGTTCTGATGTGGGAGGTGCATTGCATTGCCATTCATTTGCATGGCACCACAGATGCATCTCTGACCCAGAGTTCTATTGCCCGCATCGGAACGTGTGGTACTGCAATGTCATGCGTTCCATTGCAGTGCAACTTGGGTCACGACTTAATGACCAAGGACAAATGTGGGTCCTGAGGTTACACAGGTTGAGAACCAATGATCGAGATCATCTGACTTCATTTGATATGGGGATTAATTTGGGGAGGGAGTATTTTTATCTGACCTCATGCACACAGAAATTTTTGTTTGAATAATGTGAAAGTGACCAGGACGCACAAGTGTATGTGCCAGGACCTGTGGAAGCCAATGATTTCTGCCACTGTTTTAAAAAAGTACTGGGACAAATAACTGATATCCTAGCACCGTTTTAAAAAGTGTCTTGGACTCAAGTGGTTAAATAGTCGGGTCAGCTTTGGATAAAATTGAAAATACCGATTTAATTGCAATATTCACCCTTAACTTATATTACGGGTTGAGTAACACACTTCTTGGGAGCTCAGGGCATCAAGGACCCATACTTTGGGGAGTGTTATAAGGCCGCCCTGGACTTGCACAAGTATGCTGCAGGGAATGGCTCCACATTTTGTTACTTTTCTTTGCAGGAAAACCATTTAGATAAAAGGTATGTATACAGGAAGGGGGAAGTCCAGGATGGGAAGTATCCTTAGATGGAAATGGTGCTGTCTGCTCCACAACAGTGATTAAGAAGGGAAGCAAGGATAAGGATAACAATTCTGGAACTTGCAGCTTTATAACTCAAGTTGGCAAGTGCAACTCCCATATGGGTATCCCTTTAACTAGCTAGCTTCTGCCAAGCATTATAAATTTCAGTCTTGGTGACAAAATCTTTTAATTAGAACAAAACAGAGAAAAATCTTCCAAAAAACATGTCAATTCTCATTTGAGCTATTCAAGTACATGGAGGTGATTAATCAAAAGCCATGTAAGCTAGCCCGCATATTTAATAAGGTAAAGAATAATGATGCTGTCAGAATAGGCATAAGGGATGATGTCTCAAATGCAGCCTATGTATTGCCCAGTGTTCCTACAGATATACAGCTGTCTATAGTTTGATAGGTATCCAGAGGTAAGCAACAGAAAGAAAGTCCAAAAGTGTAATGGCTGTTTCTGAAAATAATAGTGTGGGTAAGAACAATTAAAAATGATCATACATAGCTACATATTTAGATAATGAAACTGATAAATATTTATACACGTGGACAAAAACTGGTTGGTGAGCTTACTCTCATGCATCCTTTTTTTATCCACATTTTAATGAGATGTGTTGACACAACGTGTGACTGATCAAGATGCTTTTTCTCCAAGTATTTACAGGAGTAGTACCAGTTCCATAATATATGACTTTACTATCTTCTCTACAGGAGCAGTGCCAGTTCCTCAGTATATGACTACTATTTTCTAGATCGTAGCAGTACCCCCACCATGTTATTTTACTATATTCCATACAGGAGTTGTACCAGTTTCTCAGTATATTGATTTACTCATTTTTATATGTGAGTAGTAGTGCCAGTTTCTCATGTAAATGTATTGCTTTAGTGTTTTCTAAAAGGAGCAGTACCAGTACCTGATGGATTGCTTTATTATGATCTATACTGGAGCAATACCAGTTCCTCAGTATATATTGATTTACTATATAGGAGCAGTACCAGTTCCTCAGTATATTTCTTTAGTGTTTTCGGGCACAGCAGCAGTGCCAGTTCTTCAGTATGTTGATTTACTATATAGGAGCCGTACCAGTTCCTCAGTATATTGATTTACTCATTTTTATATGGGAGTAGTAGTGCCAGTTCCTCATGTAAATGTATTGCTTTAGGCCCCATTCACACTAAGCGACATACCTTTTGCAGCGGATCCGAGCGGCAGGGATAGCGCAAAATTTCGGGGCGACGATCCAGCAAGAGTAGCGCGACCTTCAACGTCGGGCTCCATTAAAAATTAGAAAAGTCGCGCAAAATCCGCCGAAAAAAGGGTCCTGCTAGAGCAACTGGCGACATGGAGCTAAGACAGCACCACTGAATAGCATTGGCCGGCGACTTCTCGCGATATTGCGCGGCAGAAATGCGCGATATCACGGCGGTAATCGCACGATAAATCGCTTAGCGGGAATGGGGCCTTAGTGTTTTCTAACAGGAGCAGTACCTGATGTATTGCTTTCTTATGTTCTATACTGGAGCAGTACCAGTTCCTCAGTATATATTGATTTACTATATAGGAGCAGTACCGGTCCCTTGGTATATTGATTTACTATATAGGTGCAGTACCGGTTCCTTGGTATATTGATTTACTATATAGGAGCAGTACCGGTTCCTTGGTATATTGATTTACTATATAGGAGCAGCACCTGTTGCTTGGTATATTGATCTACTATATAGGAGCAGTACCGGTTCCTCAATATATTTCTTTGGTAAGTTGTAATTTGTCGGTTTCTCAGTATCTTCCTTTACTATACTCTATAAAGGTGCTGTATCATTACCTCATATAAATGTATTGCTTTACTGTTGTTGGCACAGAAGCAGCATCAATTGTTCAATGTATTACTTCACTATTTTCTATACAGGTGTAATTCCAGTTCCTTATATTGTATGGCTTTCTTGTTTTCTGCACAGAATCATTACCAGTTCCTGATGCCAATGATTTGTTTTACTTTTTCTACACAGGAGCAGTACCAATTCCTCTATAAGGCGATGCTAAGTCTGGTCAGTACAAAGGAAAATGGCAGCGGCCCCATGGCATTAGACAGAAATGGAGCCGTTCTGGTCAGCGACGAATCGGACCCCTCACAGAGCATGGAGTCTCTCGTTTAGTGAACAGCTTCTCGAAGGAAAAAGGCACTACGTTTGTAAAACTTCTGACCTTCTAGAGACAGAGTGGACTTTTTTCGAGGCCTTTTATTTGCCAGACTATATAGGTTATACAATAACCCAATTACTTTTTTACACTGATAAAATTTTGATATTTATTTTTTGCCATTTTATGTCTTAATGGTATCCTACTGAGCATTTGCACCTCTGTTCATTTCACTTGGTGAAACGCAATTTTCTCTAGTTTTGCACTATATGATCAGTGTTACTGCCTATAACCGCTGTAGGACACGGCAAAAGCCCAACAAGAACATTCCCTAGATCCAACTCATGCTCCTTTTTTTTTTTTTTTTATTCCATTTTTAAGTTCTTCTTAAAACGTGCCTGTCGACCACACACAACAGGAGCCACTTTGTGTGCTGAAGCGATATTCAGCTTATCAGTTGACTAGGAACTTGTGACTTTTGCCCCTGCTGTTTCATGGGCAGGGCTCGACAAAGCCAGGTGTCAGGCAGGTCAGGAAGGTATTGCTTCACTTCCTGACTGGCAAAGGTTTTATTTTTTTTATTATGGGACCTCTGCCCGGCACCCAGGCAAACTGCGCCATCAGTGCAATGCTGCAAATAAAATAAAAAAGTCAAGTGTAAGGAACAGATTAATCCATAAGTCCACGCCATGGGGATGACAAAAGCAGGCTTATCATTCTGTAACTTGGGTGACCACTTTCTTTGCCTACTCGTTAATTTAATCGCAACACTAGCACATTACTATTAATATACGCTCTGCTCTGGGACACTTACTACAAGGCATTCCATTCACTCCTGATCACTTTGTCACCTGATCATGTGATGTATAGTTTTTATTTTAGTTCTTTTCACACACCACCCTTTTGTTATAAACTGAAATATGGGTATTATGTTTGTTTTTTTTATATTGTAATTTGTATTCTACTTCCTTCTGTGAACCCAAATGAGCACTATCTTTGGTTTCTCATTTGCAGCAACGATTCTGTTTAATTCATTACGCAAAATGATAAACGTATTTTTTATCAAAATTTTGCTTCGGTTTTACTAAGTCTTGAGTGTTTGCCGCAGACCTAAATAGAATATTTAGTCAGCCTTTCTTTTACTGCTATTTAAAATGCACATTAATTCATGTGAAGCATGTTTTAGCCTAAGGGTATATACACAGATGGACAGCAAATGCAGCTAGCGAATGTGGCAGCTCCCGCACTGTGACCACATTTCTGTATTTTCCAAAGAGCATCTAATTAGTTTTATTGGGAAGCACTCACTTAATACATAGTCATGTGATCAAGTAAACAGGCCACACAGTTCCCATTTTTAGTACTGTCTGCATTCATGACCATGTGAATTCATACAGAACAGTCATTGAAAATAAGAGATGGAAGTAGTATTTAAGAGCCAGTCAGTTCCATTTAAAACCTTGCAGACAATTCTAAGGAGCCATGAAATGTGTTTTCAATGACATCCACAGAAAAGTCTCCAAAAATTAGATATAAACACCTAATCAGATGACATTTAGTTCTCTAAAGAACTGTATATAATAAACTGCCATTTTCTTTTAGAAAATACAGTGTTCACCTTATTTTCATTGCATCTACATGCTGATGAACTCCTACAGATTGTTTCTGTCTACATGCACTCACTTCAGCTGCACATTATTGCCCTCAACTGGTTTTCCGATAGTGACAATGGTGGACCATGTTCTCACAGTGTGTGTCAGCAGAGCTGGTTCTATTCTCCACCAGAGGAGCATGTAACAGTGACAATGCAATAGTACAGTTGGGAGACGGTTGTCATTCCATAACAGGAAGTTAACCTTGGATTTTCATGGTATAACCATCAGGTATTTTTTATATGAAAGCTACAGATGTAAAAAGAAACTGGAAACAACTTTTGAAATTATATTACCATAATTGAGTTTTGTGAGATTTTACTGTTTGGATTTCTAAACTACTTTAAAAGAGAACTATGGGGTAAGTGTTTTTCCCATAGTTCTCCTAAACTAGAGTCCTACCGTGACCCAAAGCTCAGTATATCGCAAGCTACGGCTCGCGGTATACTGAGACCGCCGCAGTCGGGACAGATCCTGACTTTACTGTAGAGATCCACCCAGCTGTGCGAGTGACAGCTTGCTCTGCCTATCTAGAGGCAGAGCAAGTACCTGTACCTGCCCCCTCTCTCGTCTGTTCCTCCACTCAGTGCTGCAGGATTAGAGCAGGGAGGGGGGAATCCCTGCAGGGAGCCGTGACTGACATTCACGGCTCTCTGCAAGGACAGGATCGAGAAGTGAGCGAGCGACGGTATGTGTTCGCTCACTTCCCGATCTATTTAGCCGACATGTGACAGTTTCATTGTCACACGTCGGCTCGAACTATGAGGTTGAGTGATTTTCACTCACCTCATAGTTCTCCTTTAAGTGCCAGTAGTCATTTTTTAGGCCTATTGACAATCCAGCTCCTGAGATTTGCAATAGCCTGATTTAGATGCTTTTGGAAATTACACAAATGTGTTCAACCTGTCAGACCTTCATCAAGTAACATGCTTTCGTCTGTATGGGGGGGGGGGAGGGTACATGCATAGAATATCATAACTGTGTCATATTGCTGACTTCTATTCCCATGGCCACCAATGCAGACAATAGTGATGGAATAGACAAGAAGTGTTCACCCAAATTCTCTTGTTTCTTCCCACTAATTTAATGGTTCTCAATGCACTAGCACTCTAGGTGCATACCTGTTGCAAGTTGCAGTCAAAGGTGTATAAAATAGTTGACAGTATACAACATCTCTTTGGACATGACCTCCGTGTGCTAAAATTAACAAGGGCCGCAATGTCTATGGGTGCTTATGTGGCGTTTTTTACTAGTACCAATCTTTTAAAATGAGGGGAAAAAGCCTTTCTTTATTCCATAGTCTGTTATAAAAAAAAACTAACATAAAAGATAGTGCCAATTCATCCTGCAATGTGTCAAAAATATCAATATTCCAGATGTCTCTGTGTCCTTTGTGAAGCTCAGACATGCCCCTGCCGTATCCAGCTGTTTCCCACAATTACCCAATTATCATTTATAGTCTTGCCAATCATAACATACTGTAGCATTTGGGGACCTGATGGGCAGCTCCTGTTTGAGAAAGCGAGTTATTCACAGGAAAGGATGGAAACCCTAACCAATGAAATCGCAAAATGAACAAGGAAATAGGGAACATATCAAAGGGCATTTGTCGAGTTGCTTTTCATTTAAACTAAATCTAATAGGGTCCTGTTGGGATGGTGTTGCCTGGCTCCTGAAAGTGGTGGCAGTTCTGGCTCAGATCTCCCCTCCACCATAGATAACTTGCAATATTTTCAGGAGCCAGAGAATAGGAACCTTGGCTCTTCCAGGTAAATTACATTCTGACAGGTGCGTTTGAAAGGGCTACCCCACCCAAAACTAAATCATCACCCACTGGAACTGTGCCATGTGTTTTCAGCCCTGCCCACCTGGCCTGAACATTACATGGGGGTCTCCATTTAACTGCCAGATTCAGGATTTATGGGCTAGCAACCATAGCAAGAAAATATTCCTATTCAAGGTTCATAGATATCAGCAACCAGTGGATGACTCAGCCCACTGATGTCCATCCAAATCTGAAGAACTTGTTTTCGATAAATGTGATATTTGATTCAGGGCAGTACTTCTGGAAATTTGAGTAATCTTGCATAGGCATGACATTTTGAATAAGGAAGGAGTTTTAAATGTGGAATGAATTGCGGTTTTTAAACAATTTCACGTTTGTAAGAATTAACACTGTACACCACAAAAACGTTGCGGTTGCTTAATGGATACCATGTGAAGGTGCAATGATGATACATGATTTTATATACTGTTTGGAAATTCTTGTCTGTCTCTTCTAAATCTGTAAGGCATGGCTGTGGCCTTCATACAATGGAGGTCTCCGTTTTGTGGCCTGAAACAGCTGTGTCAGTAATGCTTGGAGCTCCAAGTGACTTGCTGGGATGTATTCCCACAGTGGTCCATCATATACAAGTCATTCTCTTAGTAGGAGCCAATGTTCGTAGGACGCTTTCTTAAACTGATCATCAATGCTAAACTTGTGAAATTACCTAAAATATGTACTAAACATGTTTGATGGTCACTACGAGAATTGTTCCTCTTGGAAAAAACACATTTATGGTTTTAAAAAGCTGTTATTTTAACCCAATTTTTCTCAATATCCAAAACTTTCACACCAGTCACTGCACTACATCTCTCAGCGGGTGGTGTGCGGTGTCTGGCACAATGCTGATCCTGACACAGATCACTGTGTACTTTTCACAAGGGCATAGTGAGCTGGCCGATGCAGTTGTACGGCATCGGATCTAGCTGCGCTGAATAAAAGTACTGCATGCAATACTTTATTTCAGTGGTTACCACTGCAACATGATGGATGCTGCAGCTTCCGGTATACTGAGACACCGCAGCTGAAACGGATCCCGACAATTATGTCTGGATCCGCCCAGCTGCGTGAGTGACAGCTGGCTCTGCCTATCTAAAGGCAGAGCCAGCTGTACCCGCCCCCTCCCCCGTCCGTTCCGCCAGTCAGCGCTGGAGGATCGGACAGGGGAGGGGAGAATCCAGTCACTAACCTGTCACGGCTCTCTGCAGTGACAGGATCGAGAAGTGAGCGAACGCCGGTATGTGTTCGCTCACTTCCCAATCTACTGAGCCGACCTGTGACAGTCTCATTGTCACAGGTCGGCTCAGATTATGAGGGTGAGTGAAAAGCACTCACCTCATAATTCTCTTTTAAAGTCAAATAGGCTTTACACTTCGCAAGGGAATTTTCACTTTGCGGGGGGAGTTTCCTTTAGCTTGGTGAATGTGGTGAAATTTTACTTAGCAAAGAATACCCGATCATGTGCATAGAATATTTAAAAGAAACAGCATATTTGCTTGCTTGCACATGATTGGATGATGATTAGCAGAGCTTCACATCATACACTAAATTAAGAGGAAATGTCCCCTGCAAAAGTACAAATTACATTGCAAAGTAAACGGTCTATTTGCCTTTAGTAAATCAACCGCTTATTGTTGTATGTACCGCATATCATAAACAATTACCATTTTTAAATACTGTGTTTACCTATTTCCATGGTTTGTTGCATCCAAGGGTGGATATTCTGTGCATGCCAGGACAACAATTGTGAGACAGAGCATTGTCTATGTAGTAAAGTATATTACCAGGGTCCCTGAAACGTTGCTTATGAAGAGATGTGTGTACATCAATAAAATGACCACTCGTTAAAGATTTTACTTTGGTGTGCTGGTTATATACTTTACTACTTGGAATTGAAGTGGCGCCACCCACCATCACTGCAGCGCCCACTTTAAAATAGCACATACCAGTAAGGAGTGCGGTGGGAACCTCTTTAGAGCATTGTCCATCACACAAAGTGTCTGGAAAAGGACCTTCATGGCAAGTTCACCAGGTTTTATTTTAAAGAAAGCTGCAGTTTTAAAATATTGAAAATTACTTTTGAAGCTACTTTTCTGAAAGATTTTGGTAATTGGTATTACATTTACTTTAGGCTCTAGCAGTTACGGTTAGCTTCATACACGTTCTGTGGTAAACGCTAGCCACCCATGGCTTACTGTTTGCTGCCCCTCTACATCCTTCATTCAAAGAAGAATGCAGTGTACAGGTAAAATTCAAAAATAGCATAAAAGTGAGAATAACAAAATAGCTGTAAAAGGTATGACCAGAGAGGCATTTTAATCATTCATGCACAATTTTCACCATGTACTCATCTCTGTCACTGGACAATAATGCTTTACAACACAATCATGGGACACAGGAGGATAAACCATGAAACTACAGTCTATGAAGAAACACAAGTCCCCCAGGAAGCAGCCAAATACGTATGAGCTCCAGTAGCATGTTCTAGGATAAGATTCCATTCAGATCATTCATTGAGTTGGTCATTCCTTTTGTGAACTTCCGCAAAATACAGTGAAAAGATGGTAAAATATTTTCTTTTCCTGCATGGCCATATATAAATTATGGTTTCTGGAGTTATAGTGACTCTCCACATCAGATAGTCACAAGGTAAATTTAAAATGCATCACACTACAACCCATGCTATACAAAGTACAAATGCATCTGTTAAAATAACTATAGTGGAATATATTGAATTCATATCCTTCAAAGTAAATTAATTATTTCCTCACAGGAGCCCAAATCCCTTACATCCTAGGAATTATATCATATGTGTAAGAAGAATGTGTGTCACACTATATAGATAATTTTTTAAAGCTGTTTAAAAAGTATTTAGGGCACAGATTAGGAAAATTATGGGCGTCCATGTTTATCTCATAGTTTGGATAGAACTGTTCTTTGCAGCCACTGCAAACAGGCAACTCTTGCATAATCAAGTCTTCGACAACGGCAAGCGATTGTAGGTTCCCTTTATTCAGTTAAAAATAATTTGTCTTAGGTGTTCCAATTTACTACCAAACTAAAAGGTTGCCTGTCTAGCAAGGTGAAAGAGGATATATGGTCATCAGATCAATTTAATTTTGGCTTAAAAGTGGACATCCAATGGTTACAATTGCATAGGCATATGGCCCAGATCTGAAGGGGATCACCAACTGAGGTTAGATTTTGTGTGTGGCTAAACATTTCAGTGGATCTGATCTATGTTCAAAAATATTGGCCACAACCTGATGCAAATGTAACCAGCAGGCAAGTTATCCATTTGAACAGGTGCAGATCCCCTACTGACAGCCTGAAGGTTCAGTTGCTGTTCTTGTTTATGCCATGAGTGGCTCAGCTGTCTGTCAGCTTTGACTACGAATCACAGAACAAGAATGAAATTAGAAATTATGTAATGTGTACCATGGAAGCAGTTGTAAGGGGAAAACCTGCACTGTAGAAGGTTCAGGTCCAAGAAATATAATTCCAAAATAAAAAACACACTTTGTTCTTTTCTAGCTAGTGGTGGGTTACTTGAATACTGGTAAGTTGAATGGCTCCTGGCTGCTTATGTCCCTTAAACTGGACCTGTACTTCATTTCAGACTTTTAATAATAATAAACCTGCCTAAGACTAGACACTGCACAATGGGAGGAATTTCTCAAAACTGAAGCAGACAAAATCTGGAGCAGATTTGCACTGCAGCCAATCAGCTTATCTTACCTGAGCAAACTGAGGAGAGATGCTGATTGGTTGCCATTGGCAACTGCTCCAGACTCTGTTTGCTACAGTTTTGATAAATTCCCCCCAATGCCTGCTGTTACAGTTGTTAGCCAGAAAAGCTGTTACTGTGCCCTTCTCTGATTTCACTTTGTAACATGACTTTCCTAGACATCATAGAAAGGTAAAACCCTACAGCTGATAGCGACATGGGCCAAATGGAACCAAAATACCATTTGCTGAACAGTAAGGTATCTACATGTCTCATTGCCATCAGGTTTGCACTGTGTTTTGAGGTAGAAGGCAGAGCCATGCAGATCATTCCTTGGCCAGCAGCCTTTCTAGATGACCAAGGGGCAAAAAGGAATGATCTTTTTCATGGCTTCACCCACTTTTTGCTGCCCAGCAAGACTACCACTGTGACCAGTAAAGTACCCTTTTCTTTGTAAGCTTCTCGACCATTTTTCCCCTGTCCAAAGTCTGACATTATTTACAAAGTGAAACCAAGTTGGAAAAGGCTTTTTTTGCTAATAACGGCAAAAGACGAAATCTTGCAATGCCTGCTTTAAAGCATGAAATAAAGTACAGGTTAACTTGAAGGACTCTTAACAGCAAAATGTTCCCATCAAGATTGCGCTCTCTCTTCTACCGCACTGTACACACTCCCTCTAATTATTCATTTTATATTATGATCAAGCCTGCAGGCAGTGTGATGCCATTTCTTGGCTTTATTTTGAGTATTACAGTTGAGACTGAAACTGTGCTTGGTGATCTCCCCACCAAAGCCATGAGAATTTCGAACAACCATTAAATGGACTGTGTTTTCAGCACCACAATATCTGCTTTGGTATTTTTGGGTGTTGTCTTACCCTTTCAGCATCAACAATATCAGGGCTAAAATGTAAGTACAGACTTTCCAGAACAATCATTTTTACATTAACTCTATAGACAGCAGGTGTTGGGGAGGATGGGGGAGTGCTTCAGATGTTCCAAACATCGTAATTCCGGCAGAACTTGGACTAACACAATCCCTTACGCAGTCATCCAATAAGGAAGGTTTTGCCCAGGTCCAAAGTGGTTTAGAGGCAGTAAGGCACAAACTAGTCCAAGAACCAACAGGAAAAAAACAGGGTCCAGCACTAATGTATATGGATTTTTCTAGGTGAACACAGCTGTATATCAGATGCGCAATACTATATCATTGTTTATTGGACTCTAACTTTAGCCTAAAATGTAAAGCTGGTGGTTATGGGTTAGAGGAAAAGACAGGGTTGGGTTACACGTTACGGATGGGTAACACCTGGGGGTCATCCATATTTACCACAAGTTTTTTTAAAGCTCCATGCCTTAATGTATACCACTGAGTTTCTGGCATTAAAAAGTATTGCATACCAATGCTAATGTCGGCTTTGGGTTGCCTTGCTGGCAACTATATAGAGCTCATCTGTTAGGCAGACTGCACATCGTTTGGTGACAACTGATGCATTATGAGGCAGAAACAACTACCTTTGAATGATGTACGGCATATGTATGATGTCAAACTTCTAGGATAAAAAAATTGGGCCATCCCATTACCACTTTTGCCGTTTCCTGTCAGAGTTCCAAAGGACTGAATCCCTCAAGTTTTTCTAGTGTAAAACAGACTGAAATGAGCAAAAAGGTGTACCGGGTTATTCACAAAAGGGTGAAGAGTTTGGAGAAGGCAGGAGAAGTGAACAATCTAGGACAACATAGCTGATTTGGAAAAATTCTCCAATTCCATTTCTGCTATGTCGTCCTAGATTGTTCACTTCTCCTGCCTTCTCCAAACCCTTCACCCCTTTTGTGAATAACCCCCATAGCCTTGAGAGATTATATAAGGACATTATCATACTCGCTTTCTGCAAGGTGTGTGAAACTAGGACAATTCATATCTGTCAAAAAACAGGCCTGGGGGGCAATGTTGAGCCCAGACTACCACTGTGGCTACAATATTTATATAAGTATTTCTTATTTTGAAATTGCAAGTAGCTATACAGGTATAATACTGATCTAATGCAAATCTCCTCAACTTTAGCATTGTCCAACTATCATTCCCAATACTCTAACTTGCCTATAAGGTGTGCACGCTTTACATTGCAAACCAGTCCATATATATATTTTTTTTTTATCACATTTAATATCCAAATTACCAAAGATACAATGCATTTAGAAAATAAATATACACAATGCTTTTGGTATTAGGTTATTTAATATTAGGTAGGGTTTTGAAGTTTCTTTGCAAGTAGTGCCAGCATACATTTTAAGAAGGAATATTATAGAGTGTTACCACCTGGTTTTGATAACCTTCCTAATTAAATTGTAATTAAAATCTTTGCACTTTCCGACCTTACTGTTTCGCCGTTAATCCACTGTGGTAGACATGGTATCATTTTCTCTAGCTTGTGGTTCATCTTTTTTCCCCAAAAAACATTGCTAAGCAAACAGGACAGTGTGTAAGTCTAAGGAGCTTTTTTGTCCTATGCTGGCCATAGATGGTGCAATATACTTTTTAGATCAGCTGGTTCTCCCACTGAGTGCAAAGACCAACATGGACACAGCAATGTACTTTGACTGTGCTTAAACTTTTTTCTACAATTACATATCCTCATTGAAAAGAAAAAAAACATTGGTAAATTTGTACATTTCTATTCACAGGCGTTACCAAGAACTCTGAATCAAAAAATTTAATAAAATTCTATTTGCTATAAAAAATATAACCGGCCATTCCTAATTAACACAAATAATATTATGAAAGGCACACTTAGCTGTGCCTTCCAAAATTTTGTCACATCTATGGCTGGCTTTTCATCAAAGTCACCTTCCCTACATATTTGCAATGGGGCACATTTTCTACCAAGTGTAATTATAAAAAAATAAAAACAACCTGTGTTTTAGAAAAAAAATTATAAAACTTGTCTCCAAAGGAGGAGATATCCAATTTTATAAAATGTCACACCTCCCCAACATTTGGGGTCGTGACTCCTTTGTTTGAATATAGTATACAGCCATTGTTTCTTAAAATAGAGCACTATGCTTTCACCTAGTCATTCTTCATCTTCATATTTACAAAAAGCTGAAAAAAAACACCCATTAGAACTGTAAATAAATTTTCTTGCTTTGATAAGCTTCTTCTGGAATCTTTGTATCTATGGTATATAAATCATAGGATTTTATATTTTCATATAAAGCTAATTTTTTTCTAGGTTATTCTAAATTTTCTTTGCTTTTTTAATGGTGGTGCACATGTGTAAACAAAAACTTTCCGTGTAGTCAATATTTAACATCGAAAATCTTTTAAAAAATTCATTTGTTTTATTGAGGGCCAGTGATTGTGAAAGTTGGATTAATATGAATATTAATTCTGTTACCCGTGGGTGCAATAGGGATAGACAGTTGGTCACCAACTAAGTTTGTCTCATCAAACCATGTTAAACAAAATGTGGTGTTTTTTTTTCTTTTCTTTTATATACTTTTGTAACTTGAATTATTTTTTGGCTTTTTGTTCAGTCTAAAACAATATCAAACATATTAGTGTTATTTAATATGTAAATTGTATTGCGATACATAAAATAAAGTATGGTTTTTGATGTAAATTTATTTTTCCTTGAGACTTTACTACGCAGAGCTGCATCAAAATGTGAAAAGGCAGAAATAATTATGAAAAAATTACCTTTTAGTTACATGTTTAGATATATGTGTAGATATTAACAATGTAAACATCCCTGTCTTTTTAACTTCACAACATAAACCTACAGCCTTTCTTTTTTCTTAGAAAAAAAAAAACCTCTATCCAACAGGATTACATTGACGAGCTTTAATTTTTGAGTCACCTTGCTCTGTAGGATTTATTCAGTAAGTTGTGCTTTCGTCATTATAGTTTTTTAACCAAAAACAATTGTCTTTTTCCAAAAAATTTAGGGGGTTATTCACAAAGGAGCCGAAGAATCCAGCCTTATGCTCGGCGGCATTCGGCTATTCACAATATGAGAATAGGGGCGAACGGCAGCGAGTGAGCTGCCGTAGCTTCGGCTCAGCCAATCCAGATGTTGGATCGGCTAAGTCGAAGTCCCTCTGCACTTCGGCTCAGCCGAACATGCAGAGCATGTTTGGCTGACAAAAGGGCAGCCGATGTACGGCTGAGCCGTAGTGAATAGCCAAACCTTGTTCGGCTCAACACCAGTCACTTTTTTTTTTTTTTACAGCAACAATTTAAGACGTGCCTGACTCAATTTATTGCCCAGAAAATCTCTCCAAAGCGGACTTTGCACACACAAAAAGCAAGGTCCAGTTTTTAAATATGCCACCCCCACCCCCTTGCTGAAACGCAAAGGTTTAAAAAATGCCTGTAGGTGGTAAAAGTTAGCTGATATACTGACTTTTCCTCTGATTTCCTCCCACGAAGCCTAGGCAAGGGTGACATCATCCTCCACCTGGTGAAATCTGATGAATGTAAAGTAGCCCAATCCTTCTTGAGAAAATGCTCCCAGGGCTGGGCTGCAGTGTCTTCTCACTAGATTTGGTGTATCACCGTTCACCAGAATCTCATTGGGAGGAGGATGATCTTTTGATGCACTGCAGTCAAGAAAAGGCAAGTATCTCTTTCCCCCTAGGGGTCTTTTTGTTAAAATTTTCCCCAGAGTTTCAGAAAAGGGTAGGGGGGCATGTTTAAAAGCAGATCTTGCTTAGAGTGTCACCAGATACTACCTGAAAAACTAAATTTATGTAGACCAGGGGTGCCCATTACGTCGATCGCAATCTTATAGTCGATCGCAAACAAACAGGTAGATTGCAGTTGACTCACTGACCTGAGCTCCCTCCCGCAGTGCTAGTGCAACTGAATGCGTCAGACGCTGCAGATGGGAAGGGGCAGGACACCTCTCTCCGTCTGCAGCGTCGGACACATTCGACCACACCATCACCAGTGTGGGGCGGGACACCCCTCCCAGTCTGTAGCGTCGGACTCACTAGCACTGCAGGAGGACAGGACAATAGCTGGGAAGCTGCTGCAGTGCAGGTAAGGAAAGCCAGCCAGAGGAGAGAGAGAGATAAGAGACAGCCGAGAGAGAAGAGGAGAGAGGGAAGAGACAACCAAAGGAGAGAGAAAGCGAGAAGAGACAGCAGAGAGAGGAGACGGGGGGAGAGAGAGAGATGCAGTAGTCCCAGTAACGATTTTAATGTTTGTTTTTTAAATAAAGGTGTTTTTTCGTTGGTAGATCTCGTCATTTGAAAAGTAGATCTCAAGACAAAAAATTGTGGGCACCGCTGCTGTAGATAGACTGTACCGGATGTAATTACACAAACTCTCCCTGCTGCAGCAATCTGAACTTGCAGAGCAATCAGTGTCACAATTCTGATGTTGACACTTGTGGACGGGTTTGAGTGCCAAGCTTCAGGGCTGCCCGCAGGTGCTCCCCCACCAGCCCAACATCATCACAGCATTTCAGCACCAAGTAGAAAAATCTGATAAAATCCTCAGTAAAAGCCGCTGCAGAGTGAGCACACTATCAATGGCTTTGATTTTGTGACTATATAAGATATATAATATCAAATAGCAGCAACAATGTTCATCATCACACACTCAGTCCCCGTTCAAACTTGCTTCTCATTTGTGCGTGTTTTGCTGCGTTCAATTCAATGGGCTGCGCATGGTGCAGCAAAGAAGCCCATGCAGAGGTTTAAGCTGCGCATCAAGGCTTGGGCAAAGATGCGTATTTTACCAGACGCGTTTGGGGTGCCATTAACAAGCAATGGCACTGCAATCGCCTTATGCGTTTTTGCCATGTTGCGTGAACGTTTGCCAATGGGTGTGGTGCCTAACCACTCAGACCTTGGCCACCAATTAATTATATCAAATGTGTACTCACTGAAAATACACTTTATGTTCCATTTAACCCTTATGCTGCTTGGCACGTTTTTTTTTTTCTACACACTATAAAATGTTAATTTACTTCACAAGCTGATCGGTTTATGTGCTGGCAAAGGGGCATAGAAGAAGAGTGTAGAGGGCCATAGATGAGCTGATCAGTCTGCTGCTTCTGCTTTAACTGTCTAATCACAAGATGGGGGAAGGACAAGACATAAAAGGGTTACTTAAAAAGACTCCTTTACCTTGCCCATACAGGGCAAAGTGATAGCATCTCTGGAAAGGGCATCCAGTAACCCCCTTATTACTAATTTTGCTTGTGCTCCCTTGCAGCTCCTTGCTCCTTCACAGCCACGCTAAATTTGGTTGTGCTGGTGACCCAGGAAGTGGTGACATCTCTCCCCTACTTATTTCACAGTGCTTGGGCTTAACAATTGCATGTTAGGCCAGGCAGGCGCTCTCAAATGTCCAGAAAGACTGGGTATTCTTGCCGGCTCTGCAGGACCTAGTTTCTCTGCAGGACCTCCTGGGAGCACAGGTAAGTGGAGTATGAGGGTCAGGGGGTGCCCTTTGTACAGATACTATAGCTTGGCATTTTCAGTTTCTGTCCTGACAGACAGGGGTGTGTAAATATTTGGATTGGATGAACAAATTACCTGCTTGCCTGGAGGTCAGCTTTAAAACAGAACTTTATTCATGGGAGAGAAAAAATTATGATGATTACCTTTAGGAAGCAGCAAATTCTATCAAATCTCTTGATAAAAAAGATGAAAAGAAAAATGACACAAAAGACAAAGCAAAGA